TAAATATATATATATAATAAGAACAAAAAGAAATAACAATTACTTTGTGAACGACAAGAAGAAAAATACTATAAATATTAAGAAAAACACACGAAAATAACTTTAAATATATATATAATAAGAAAAAAAAGAAAGAACAATTACTTTGAAAATGATATTAAGAAAAACACACGAAAATAACTTTAAATATATATATAATAAGAAGAAAAAGGAAGAATAATTACTATAAATATAAAGAAAACACGAAACGAAAAAACTTTAAACTTTAATAAATATATATAATAGTAAGAGAAAAAAATAAAAGAACACTATAATAAGAACATATGAAGATGTAAAAAGAAAACCCAAAAAGAAAAATGTTAACAGAATAGGAAATTTTTAATAGAGAACTAAATAAAAAGAAAAAACTTACCTTAGGATAGAAAAAAAAAGTATGAAGAAACAAAAATAACTTTGAAATAAAGAAAAAACACTGTAGATAACTATAATAAGAAACTAAACTAATAATCTAAACAAAACTGTAGAAGAAGAGAGAGAGTTCTAATGCAGAGGACACTAAGTACGATAGGAACACTGTGAAGTCTGGAGCTAGAATGAGAGTAGTGGGGGTAGGCACACGGGTACCTCCGGCTGTATCCTCGAATCTGATTGGCTGATGGTTTCCCCCACCACTCTCTTCCGACCCTACCGCTTCCTTCGCAGTGGACCTTGTCCCCCTACATGCCTATGCATGTTCAAACGTGAAGAGACTTGTCGCCTAACGCAGCTGTACCCTCCACGGCCTTCTATATAACATATGTTATGAAAATAATATTACATATATTAACTTTATGATTTATTTTTTTCGATATTAGAGTCTACTATTAGGTTATTATAGGTGTAGAATTCGGAAATTATGTTAGTTTTAAGATTGATTAATCGAATTTCGATTTATTACAATATTCGTGATATTGGAGATGTATATTCTTAGATTATTAAATAGGTTTTGATATTTATGAAAAAAAAAAAACAATATATAAAAGTTGATGAGAAGAAGAGGGAGGGGGGAGAGGAGGGGTGATGACGTTGTTGTTAATTTTATGATATATTATCGTAAAATTATTAGAATATATGTATATATTTCATTGTTATAATTTATATTCCTTTTGTAATAATATATATGCTTTATTCGTTACAATTTATGTTTATATTCATTTGTAATAATATATGTGTATATTTCATCGTTGTCATATATGTATATATTCCTTTGTAATAATATATGTGTATATTTCATTGTTATAATTTATATTCGTTTGCAATAATAAATATTTTAGTCGTTACACTTTATATTTACTTGAGGTAGACAAGATGGGACCAGTTCAGACATGATATCGTAGAATGTCACAATATATGTCTATATTTATGTCGTTACACTTTATATTTACTTGAGGTAGACAAGATGAGACCAGTTGAGACAGGTCCGGACCTGTCGAACTTAAAAATGAAAAAATACAAATTAGGATTAGGATTAGGATTAGGGATTAGCATGAGAGATTAATGATTAAGATTAGGGATTAAGATTAATCAAAATAAATTATATTGGTCACGTGGTGTACAGGTGGTTAAGGTAAGAATAGCCCAGGGTCCAAAGTCCAATTCTCCTCCGCAAATTCTGGGATTAAAGTGGGGTAGAACCGGCATTTTTACCCTACTGCTGTGGCAAGTTAGTATTTTGTGGGTTGTTAATCTTATTGATAAAGATGTTATTATTTATACTGTCTGTTATTGATGATGTCAGTTTTTCTATGGCACCATTAATGTCTTCTTTTGTCTTTAGCGGAATTTTGAGGTCTAGTTTGTTTTCCATATCATCACGAAATTTGTCTCAGTTTACTCGTCCAGTGATCAGTTTAGGAGCAAAGTCAAAATGTAGTGAAAGCAGAACTGGACTAGGGTCTGAACAAAGGTCATCCAGGGATTTGAATATAGTTTGGGAAGAGGAAATCTGGGAGGTGATAAATATATCCAGGATATTGGGACGTTTTTTGAGGAATGTTGGCCAATAAGTAGGACTCATGGGCAAGAGAATTGAATAACTATTAGAAGATGAGATACAGGAAAGAATGTTACCGCGGGAGTTGGATGTTCGACAACCCCACCGTTGGTGCTTAGCATTGTAATCTCCTCCAGCAATAAAGCGCAATCTAAGGGATCGGAACAACGTATCAAGGAGATTAAAGGAGAGGGAATTACCAGGAGGACAGTATACAGCTGAGAATGTGAAATGGAAAGGGCGAGTTGAAAGGATTACAGAAGTTTATTGAATGGCGTCAGTTGGAGTGGAAGGAATAAGGGAATGGGGTAAAGATTTATGTATAAGGATGCAAGAACCGGCGTGGGCAGTGTTGTCTGGATGGTCAGATCTATAAGTGATGTAGTCTCGTATGTGAAAATGGGTCCTTTTTGTGAAATGCGTTTCAGTCAGTAGAGCTATATCAATGTGATTGTCATGAAGAAATATGTCAGATGGATGTTGATTGTGAAGTGGATTTAGGATAGGTTCAGGTGGCGGGTAAGGAGTGTTAACTGAGAGTGGGATTCGTTGTTGTGTACGAGGTGGGTCTAGATTCGACGATATTTGTGCTGTGTTTTTTTTCTGGACATTAGGATGAGATGGGTGCGATTGCTGTGGCGGTAATTTGGCTCGTAGAGGTGGATGATGAGGGGAAATTTGCTGACGCGGAGGATGAAATATGATAGGATTGGAAATATGATGTTTAGCTTGGGAGGCCTGAGGCGCCTGGCGTCGAGGCTGCTGCTTCTTGATGGTGGTATGGGTGCTAGTTTTGGTAGAGTCCTGATGAGGATGGGCGATTTCAGTTGAAGTAGTTGGTTCTTGTAGTGTAAAATGGGTAGTTTGTTTTGGCAACTCAGGGAAATTTGAAATATTTTCAATTTCTGGTGGCTGGGTATAAGTTTCTACATTTAGTTGACTGCGCTTTAAGGCTATGTTATGAGTTCTTAACTTATAGTATTTTTTATAGACTATGCATCCTTTATAGCTTGCAGGATGGTCTTCGCCACAGAGAGCACATTTAGGAGACTGTTCTCGAGGGATCTGACAAGTGTTAGATGCGTGTGGCCCGGCACATCTAACGCACCTCGCCTGAAGATGGCAATAGGTCTTTGTGTGCCCCAAGTCTTGACACTTGGTGCTCGAACTATGAAAGGTTTTTGTCTAGGCTCTTCGAATTTTACTGTGAAATACACAAGCCTCTTAACTTGAAATATGTCAATGTTATTACTTGTAGGCTCCAAATCAACAAAAAACAGTGGCAATGGATATTTATGCGTTGAATGTAGCACGCATGCTATATTCCTAACGTTATGTCCTATTTCCTCTAGATCAGATTTGATAACGGATATGGGAGTGGTTGAGTGCAAGCCTCTCAATACCACCCGATATGCCTTTTCTTGTCTCAGTTGGTAACAATGAAATTCATATTTTTTAGTCGTAAAATAATTTATCAGAGTTTTATAATTTTCTTTAGAGCTCGTGTTAATCTTAATGTCATTAACCCTAGAAAAACAGCGGAAACTGGTTTGTCCGATAAGATTGGCAATTTCTTGAACGAATGATATGAACTTTTCAATTTCAGAGACAAAAATAGGGGGCGGCTCGGGGTCAGTAAAACCTTGAGGTGCCGGAGGCTTGTTAGGTGAGTTACTACCAAGATCAAAATTATTGCTAGCTGTGGTATTTGGTGCAGTTGGAGCTGTTTTTATGGTGTTTGATTTGCTTCTAGTTCTGGGTGGTGATTTTTTTTTTCTCGGCAGGCTGTTTAGATTCATTTTGTTCAGCTGTCTGTTTAGATTTTGCTGATTTATTTTTCTTCTTGTTAGGCGAATTGCCATCTGACCCAGGGGCAGAGTTTCTGTGACGTTTTTTGAAGCGAGAGTCTTTTCAGATATTGCGAATCAGTTTCGCTAACCTCGGAAAATGGTGTATCGTCCTCTGAATCTTCACATGAAGATTTCTCGTCCAAATTCACATCTTCCATTATGATAAGAAGAGAAAAGAAAGAAAAAAATATATATATACCTAAATATTAAAACTACAAGATAAGAATTTACAAACTATTAAAAAGAAAAAAAAATACAAACTCAGAAACAGAAATAAAACAAAATATTTCTGATAATAAATAAACGAGGGAGACAAAATTAAATAAACTGTCTCTTGGAGAAGAAAAAGGAAAAAAAAAAAAAAAAAAAGAAGTTCTATAAGTCTTTGGTTTCGAACTGAGACCAGCTGACGGAAACGAGCTAGTGTACAAACCTTGGCCGTGAACTTAACGAAAATAAGATAAGAACGGCAAGGGAATTAACAGCCACATGGGCAATTCAAACGAGCACTAATTTATCACTTCATTGTTAATAAATTGTAACTCACCTCTTTATCCGTGAACTTAAAAATGTTCAACTGTTTATAATGTCACTATTCATCAATTATTAACACAGAGTTTTGACTAATAAGCACATAGCAAAGTAATAATCACCGAGCGAATTAAAAACTAAACTGCAGTAGCGGCTATGACACTTACTCTTTGGGAGAATAGTTAAAATTAGAATTGTTCCTAATCTGCGGTAGGATTCCACGTGAATTTTATTGTGATTAGTTACAAAAAAATTTCTACTTTTAGTTGTAAAAGTCCTCAAGTGAGGTTTCATTTCTCAAAGTATGAACGCTATGAGGTTCGGTCCGCAACACTCTTTGATTTCTTCATCGGAAAAAGATTTCTTGGGAGGTTCTAGTGGTTGCAGAATTTTCATGAGTGAACTTATCCAGCAATCTTTCAATCCAATTATTGCCATGGGGTGGGTTGGTTTTTGTTTTTGTCAAAACTTGGTCTCTATTTTATTGGGTTTTTCAAATCTCCAATACAAATCAAGTATTAGTATGTTTTAGGTTCGTATTTTCTACTTCTTTGTAACTGACTAATTCTATTTACTCTCATAGTTGGCGACTCCATTCCGAACGAATTCAATTCGGTTGTGAGATCACGTGTGTTGTCTTTTAGAAGTTTATGTAATGTATTTAACTGATTTACAATTTGTTGAAGGTGACCCGGTGGATTCTGATTTAGAAGACAGTGATGATTCTATATCAATGAGTGACGATGACACTGATAGCGATGAATCCAATGACAGTAGTGAATTTGAAGAAAATGAAACTGATGAAAACTCAACTCAGAATGTTGACAATAATGAGGATTTATTAGTTTCTCTGATTGAAGAACGTCGTAATAATATACAGAATAAGTTATCTCCTATTAAAAGCGATGATCTTTTTACAAATTTATCATTTCATCCCTCTATGGATCTCATTACAGTCAGTTGTCTTAGTGGGAACATTGAAATATATTCATATGCAGTTGAAGAAAATACTCTAAAAGGAACCATAGAAGCCCATACTAAAGCATGCAGAGCTGTCGAATTTTCTGATGATGGAACAACTATTTATTCTGTTGGTAAAGACAAGAATATTGTTATTTCTGACTTAGAACGATTAGACATGAAGATGTTCATAGATAATGCTCATCATGTTGCACTGACAACAATAATTGCTCCTGATGACAATATTCTTTCAACTGGAGATGAAGAAGGTGTGATTAAAATATGGGATACAAGGTTTAGTCAAACTCCAACTATGAAATTTCACGATCTTCAAGATTATGTTTCATGTATTACATCTAAAGATTCTTATAAAATAGCTTGTACTAGTGGTGATGGTACTCTTACATCTTATGATTTAAGAACAAAAAAAAAGCTTCAGCAGAGTGCACCTTTTGAAACTGATTTAACTTGCTGTACCTCAACACGTAGCAACACAATGATAGTTTGTGGCACAATGACAGGACAGTTCCTTTTTTATAAGTGGTCTGATTTCTCAGATTTAGCTGGCACCTATAAACCACGGAAAAAGAGTTCTGTTAATTCTGTTTTGGAAGTGTCTGATAACATAATTCTTTCTGGTATGGAAGATGGGCATCTTAAAGCTTTTCATTTTTTCCCGCATAAAGAAATTGGCATTGTAGGGCAACATACACTTATCATTGAAAGTTTAGATATATCACATGATGGGAAAATTGTTGCATCTTTGTCTCCTGATCCTATAATTAAATTTTGGGATATTTCATATTTGGAGGGATTTCTTGTTTCTGATGTTGAAAGAAATATTGGAAATGAAAGTAAAAACTTACCATCATCAGAGTTTGACGATCGGAAAAGTTTTTTTTCTGATCTATCTTAAGTTATTATATTTGTTAATTTGAAATCTCTGAAATTGTATTTTTTATTTCTTCACTGTAGAGGCAACTTCAAATTTCTAAAAGAGTAAAAACCAAAATTAGATGATAGTCCCAGGGGGATCTCATTTGTCACTTAGTTGAAACTAAAATTAGTTTTTCCTTTATCCTCTGATATATAGGGTTATATATTCAGGGTGCATCAGAAAAACAGGCCAAACTACAAAGCAGATTGCATACAAGAAAATGATTATATAAACCTCATGTTCTTATCTGATTTTCATTTATTTGTACTTTATTCGCTAATTACATACAAATAAACAAAATTTTACAGATGTAATAGTATTTCAGTTATCAGAATGAGATATTGAGATCTTCAAAAATATCACCATTGATATCTGAACATTTTTGGTTTTAAGGCTATTAATTATTAAAATGAAAATAAGAATGAAATCTCAGTGATCACAATTATATGTTTCAATGAGGAAGAAGATGGTCCGGAATGGCAGTCATAATAATACTCAAAACAGTGAAAAAAATATTTTATTCCATTATTTAAGTCTTTTTATGACCGCCACCCCAGACCTCCCTCAACAATATACAAAGGTCCATCATCATTTATTCTATCATATGTTTTAATCTCATTGCAGTTGGATTACGATGTGTTGTGAACAAAATCTTAATGCTTGTATATATATTAAATATTGCTTATTTGTGAATTTTTTTTTTGTTATCAGTCAATAAAATTTTAACAAATGAAAATCAGATAAAAACATATAGTTTTAAAAATTATTTATAAATTATATATATTCTTGGGGAAAATAAGATAGTTACTTCCTATATTTATAAGAAAACATTTTTTACGTTGGCATTGGCAAATTCTTATAAAGTTATTTTGTTAATGAAATTTTCATTTTTGAATCCTTCATTTATTTTGTAAATATGTAAATTGTATTATATTCAATAAATTAATTATTGTTTCTATTTGTTTATTTATTTTGATCATTCTAAACTGAAAGATATATTGAAGTTAATCGGATAATAAAATCATGATTTTATAAATGGAGATAATGAAGAAGCAATTTCAATCATTATATTTCAAAATCTGGTATTCATAAATGTGAATGGAATATTTGATAACTGAAAACCTTATTTTTGTCAAACGAAACCATGTTCTCAGTGACTTAGAGACAAGCAGAAAACTTTCATAAATGTCCCTCTCAAAAAACAGGAGTAAATTATCTCTGAGAGAATGGAAAAAATTAACAAGTAGTAAAATGTCTTAAAGAGAATGTTAGGTTCTATTTTTAATGCAATCATGCGTACGATTTTTATCAACATTTTTCAACCCCTGATTGCAGACAGTATCAATTAGAAAAATAGTTTTTCTTTTAAAGACATCTAAGTACCTCAGTAAGTCTTAACTGAGCAGTAACATTTCAGCCAAGATCTTCAACTTAAATTAGCTTATATCTTATATTCTTAAACAAAAAAAAACATGAAAGAAACTAATTAAGATCAATTTGATGAATTGATTTTCATAAATCAGAGTACTAAATTATAAAACACTAAAAAAGTTATTGTTTATGTTAAATTTAAAATGAAATTATTTCATGTCATATTTATGACAAGTCTCAAGGATTTCAATTATGAAGTTCATAGTTTTTTTAATTAAATGAGTTATTTTACCGGTTTAGATTGGTTTCCCTTTAGTTCATAACTATGTACACTGCTTTCAAATTGGTTTAATTTTAACTAAGGGTAAGAGCTTTAATAAAGTTTATGATGTTTCATGATACACAGCCTCCTAGGGGTGCCCATTCCCACAAAAACCATGGTAAATCTGTCCCAAGAATTTCTTTCAATCCTTATCTTAAAAGCTATTAAAGGGAAAGTAGAATTGAAAAATTGTAGATCAGATCCAATTACACTTGTGTCTGTTTATCCATTATAATAGGCATAGTGATCTTGTTCTTATTTTCAATTCTCCTATTAAAAATAACATAACAAAACTGTGTCTATTTGTGACCCATTGACAAAAGATGAGACTGGAGTTGGAAACAATATCAGTGGAATTAATTGACAAATATTTGAACATCAATTTTGCAAAGAATGAAAATAATATAATTTGTATTCTATTTTACTTTGGTGCTGGAAACATGCCCAAATGATGACTCACAAGTTTGGGTTGAAAAATTGGGAATAAAAAACTTAAAATTGACTGCCTCCTCCCTAATATCTATCACAGGCTTCTAATTTGTACTAAAAAAATACAAAACTTATTACTACAATTAATTTTAGCCTATCGATAATGCAACTGTATTAGAGATATGTTGAATATTCAAATGTTATGTAATATAAATCAACTTAAGAAATAAATTTAATTTATTTTTTGGAGGGAAGGTGACGTCATTGCCGAATGTCTAAAGCCAGCACTGACCCATGATAAGTATAACAAACCTACTAAGTTCCACCATTAATTCATTAAAAAACGTTTACGTATTTTAAAGTAATCTACTCAGAGTCTTATGGAAACACCTTCTCTTTTCATAAGTTTCTCGGTTGGGCTTTTTTACACGTACACTCTTGCACGAATGCTTAAGTACCTATAGGAATAGGTGAACTATGAGGGAGCCTGAAAATTGTATAAAAGAAATGACTTTTTTTTTTGAAGACCTGAACTGGAGAATCTGGTTATATATTTAACTTTACCATAGTTGTTGTTGTAACCACGGGGGGATGACGAAGAGTACAGTATCGAGCATAGGATATATGTGCTCACTAACGCGATAAGAGATGTGGCAGATACTTCTTTTCGGAGAAGGTAGAAGAGAATAAGACCAGTGCCGTGGAGGGTCGTAATCAAAAGGTGACACGTGACCAGCTCACGGCTGCCATGAGAGTGGGAGGTAGGCAGGCTGAAAACTTAGAGTAAGCTGTGGACTTTATTTACCCCGAGGATGATCCGACTCTGGAGATGGAGGAAGACCATATGATCAAAAGAACTACGGAGTACCCTCCCGGAACTGACCTATGCGAGTCATGGGACATCTGAGATCTCCACCTGGCGATAGAGAAACAGGGAACATGTAGGACCCCAGGACTAGTCGAGATCGATGCAGCGATCTTGAGGAATAGTGCATCTCAAATAGAGGATAAACTTCTGGCTATATGTAACCTTTGCTTGGACTGAGGGTACTTCTCGTACCAATGGAAGGAAGCGGACCTCAGGTTGCTGTATAGAGGGGGAGATAAGGACAATGAACAACTTAAGGCTTATAGGTCCATATGCGTTCTCCTGGTGATCAGAGTGGAGCACCTAATAATGGACAAATTGAAACTATTGCTGCGGGCAGTAGGGCATCCTCAGCAATTCGGTTCAACTAAAGGGAAGGGCACGGCGGATGGGCTGATGCAGATGAGACAGGACGTCGAAGGTGCGGCGGAGAAGTATGTGTTGTTGATACTCTTCGACATAGAGGTCGTGATGACCGAGTGTGTCGGAGCGTTGTCCGTTCTAGCATCATCGTGCCTACTGACGCCGGTTCGAATCCCGCCTGAGAGGAGTTAACTTTTATATCGTGGTGAACCCTCGTTATGAAACTCAACCCTCCCACTCTGGTCAGAATAGACTTGGTTGTACCTATAGAATGACCCTCCCCCCCACTATGCCAGTTATCAAATAAAAAAAAAGGATACTATTCGAGAGGCTGTAAGGTTGCGAGAAATGTAGAGGCTGCAGGACAGGAATACGATACTCTCTTGTGGGCAGTTACATCAAAGACGGGAGAGTAAAGATCCGAGGTAGCTCCTTTGAGTTCGGGAAGAGGACCGAAAGAGGGTTTCCGCAAAACTTGGTGCTCGGGCCAGCTCTGTGGAAGCTGGTATTCGATCAGTTGCTTGAAACAGGGGTGTCCAGAAGGGGGTTTCATGGCGCAAGTTGCGCCATCAAAATTTCAACCTTAAGCGAAGAAGATCCGCTCCAGGGGAGGCGACCGGACGGAGATTTACACTATCCTTTTATGGTATTCAACCAACCCCTAACCGTTAATCTTAACAAAATGTCACAAGCCTATTGCTGCAAGTGTTGTAAATCATTTTGGTAAAGATGAAGAGTACAAGCAGGAAACTTAAAAGCAGCGGAAACAAAAACTAAAATTTATATTATAAAGATCAACTACAACTATACTGAGAGGATTATGATTTTTGTCATTTTCGAAAAAGAATCTGATACTTCTACAAAGTTTTCCAAGCCCACAAATCATTAGTAAGATTATTTTTATCCTATAGATTTATTTATACCTGAAGAAAAATATGTTTATTCAATCGTTTATTTTATTATTTAATAAATATAATCACGCAGTAAAAATTACCATGTGACATTTACTGAATTCAACGTTAAGGAAGAGAATGAATTCAACAAATAAGGTCTTGTTTATTATTAAACAATAATCTTGTTTATTCTAAACTTTGTGTCTTGTAAAGAATTTATGAAGAAATAATAATAGGCTTCTCAAATATAACATAATCAACCCATTTTGATTGCATTGGTGAAACTTAAAACGAACTGGTTCAGTGAAGTACACATCACATTAAGTAGTATTTACTTTTATCCTATTGCCTCTATCCTTTGAACATAAGGATCCCTTACATTTTTATTAGTAATCTTTAATGTACTTATTTGATAATTAACCTTTTTGAACTTAGGAATCGGACCTCTATCCACAAAGAAGTTCATAATCGTTTTAACCGGGTCTAGTATCTCTCTTCTATATTATTAATTTCACTGTAAAAATTCCTATTGTTTAGCGTGCGAAAAAAAAAAATACAACTTATAAAATAACATTTACTACGATTTTGAAAATTGATTGAATTTAAACTGATTTCGTATCAGCTGTTTTGGTATTGATACAGGTAGAACTCGAATTTGTTTATTATACCAGCACAGATCTTCAACTTGTATTTACTAGTATAATTTTTAGTATTTGTTGAAATTGTTTGTTCAGAATGTCTGATTGGGAAACTGTTACTATTCTGCGTAAAAAGCCTCAAAAGGCATCAGCTTTAAAGACTGAACAAGTTAGTTAAGCATTTTTATGTTATATTATTTTAATATGTTTTACGTGAGACATTTATTGTTTGAAATTTGCTCTATTTGCATTAAATGTTACTACGTTTGAATTTGTAATGGACAATGATGTTAAACATATGTTCTTATTACTGTTGATAATAAATGTGTTCTTCTAAGTTCTGGGACTTGAAGTATGCTGGGATCTATTGTATTCCTTTACTTTTGAACATTATGTTATCTTTATCAGTTTTGATTGTTTATTTTTGACCATGAATGTTTTTTCCATTTGGAAAAGATATTAATATGGCCATTACTATGCATTATTTTGAAAATACTTCAAACTTCTATCGACTTAGTTTAGTTTTACAATTAATTCTACTCCTCTATATTTATGAAGAATTTATTTTTTGGGTATTTCAAGGGAAATAAGACCAAAACAATCTTTTTTAAATTAATTTAGAATGCTATTAGGTGCTTATTTTTTCTTGGCTAAATGTAATACTCCTTTTATGTTAGATATTATGGATTACATCATGTTTTGATATATGTATTAAAAGGTTTCTTTTAATCACTAACATCATTACTTAATATTTTAATACATTACTTACTAATTATGTCATATTATGTATATAATTACAAGAATTTTTATTTAATGTATTAGACCAACTACCGCTTACTATGTTTTATTCATTATAATGTTTTTGTTTTAATATATAATGCTAAAAGTACTTTTTATTGGTAAAACTAACCATGGATTTATTTCTGTCAATTTGAATTATAATATTTCCTAAATGCTTTGTATTAAAACTTG